TCATGCATCAAGAATGTCCTGTTCTTCGAGAACACTCTTTTTCCTCAATGCAGCATGCGGCACGGCGCGATTGCTTATCTTTTTTATGCCGGCTCCATTAGCTTCGTGGTCTGCAAAGTCTGTTCTCATTGCAAAACTTCCGGTGGGGCCAGGCAGCATCGTCGTATGGTTCTCGAAGTTTCGTTTCTTTCAAACCGCTTCGCTTACGATTCGTCAAGACCGACCGCAGGGGCAAGGAACGAAGACTCGGAAGACTAAGTCGACGCTCGTTCATCAACTTCGGTAAATACCTAATTTGTACTTCTTTCTTAGCCGTGCTCCGTAGCTGCAGAGTTTCCGCATCAGAGCGGTACTTCTGTTCACTGGTTTGTTCTTTAGTATGTAATCTGTTTGCCAAATTTCTGCTCCTCTTTCCTCACACTGTATGATTTGATCTCTGTGATGGTGATCTTCTGCTTAGACGATCGAAAGCCAGCATGGAAAAAATCCGTAGCAACGAGTCGTGCTGCGCTACCCGCTTTCGAGTCGGCTGGGCACTTTCTAAACGGCGAAGTCATGATCGCGTTTGGACTTCTGTGGGCCGGTTTTTTGCTACTCCACAAGCTTTTTGCCCTCTGGCTATACTCTTGAAGTTATTTACCAGTGTTCCTCGAAGCTGCCAATCTATTGACATGCGTCTGTGCTAAACCTGTTTTATTGCATGTTCTGTTCCATGGAAGTACTTGCAGATACAATGGGCGATTCGGCACTTTACGGCAAGCTGGAAAATCTGTCTATGCTGCTGTTTATTGCAGTCATCACCAAGAATCGTTTGCCTCAGCAGAACAGGTCCTCGGTCAGTGGTGTGCTGCATTCCCCACTTTCGGACAATTACCCCATAATTCGGCTGTCGTAGCATCGTAACAGAAACGGGTCACGCCTGAACGCAGATCCGCTTGCTTCATGTCTATCTCTTAATCTTGTTCGACTTAGCCGTTGCTTAGTTCTTACCGAGAAACCAGTGGATTGCGATATGGGATTGGATTTATGGCCAACCATTTCTTCCGTGAGGGATAATTTTCTTTTGCTGATCTCTACACCTCCTGATGCCACGTGCTTTAAAGAGAACAGTCATTGAGTTATAC